GGGGGCTGATAGTACTTTCCTATCTCACAGTGGTGGTGTAAAGATAAATACATTAAAGATTATGGGACACTCAGATTGGAGGCTATATAATTATCTAAGATAGATAGATTTCATTACCTATCTATCTTAAGAAGCCAGCAAAAAAAAAAAAAATAGTTGCTTAAAAAAGTTGGTCTTCCAGGGGAAGCAGAACTGGACTTGATACATTTAGGAATATTTGGGAATGGGTTCTTAAATTAGCAACTTGCCTAACAATTGAGGCCTCTTTTACAGGTTTCGTGCATCAGCTATTGTTTGATCCCATAAGACTGAAATCCCATTTGCTCAAAATCACTTTTCTAAGATCTCTTTTCTTACTGTCATACATATATTGCCAGCTCGAGCTTTAGCACTAATGGCCCAACCCAGCTCCCACTAAAGTCGATGGAAAGTCTCTCCTTGGTGTCAATAGAAGTTGGATCAGTCCCTAAATATCCCTAATAAAAGTGAGTATTCTAGTCTATTCTACTATAATTCCTGCATTGCACATTTCACTGTGGTATCTGAGTACCTACTAATTTTGCTTTAAAAATTGAAAATATTATAGAGAAAGATAGACAAAGTGGGTGAAGTAATATCTTTTCCTGGGCTAACTTCTGTTGGTGAGAGATACAAGCTTTCAAGCTTACACTGAGCTCTTCAAACTCAAACACTTGTCTCTCTCATCAACAGAAGTTGGTCCAGTAAAAGATATCCTCACTCACCTTGTCTCTCTAATCTCCTGGTATCCAGGAGGCTACAACACTGCTTACAAAAATAGTGAAAGATAAACCATTGTCTTATAAGAACTATTAATAGTCAAGCATTTGATTTAGAAGGGAAAATGTGAAAATCTTTCTTGAAGTGTTTTATGGTTTTAGAAGAAGAAGAAGAAAACCAAGGAATGCTTCTAAAAGCCTGGATTCCAAATCCTCTTTGTATTTTTCTGGTGCTCTCCACAATCCTTGCAAGCGCCTTTTATTGCAAATCCTTCCCAACCTCAGAAATTGACACATTAAGGACAGCAATAAAAGAAAGCTTGCGAATTTCCTGAAAATGAAAGCTGAAAAATATGCGCAGATGCATTTCTGTGCTTTATTTTCTGTCCTGGAGATGAAACGAATACAGTAAGGTAATTGCTTGTAATGCTTTGGTTTGAAGAATTACTAATCAAATAATTATTATCATAGGCAGTACTATACAAAATACAAGTAAAGACAACTCTAGAATCTCAATATCATTTGGTGAAGAGAAAAACTAAATTGCAAAAAGCAAACAAAAAATCAATACAGAGCTATGTTGCTTCATTTTGCCGAAATTGTGTTAGATCTGGCTTGTTATGAAACAAGTTTCTATTTGCTAGTAAACTCTGTACGGTTGGATAACCTTTTGCACAGGAAACAATAAAACAACGGAGGCTCCTCAAGGTAGTCAGGGTTGAAACTAACCAACCTGCTTTGAGTCAGACACATTTGGATTTTCATTTGCTGCTATGAACTGGTTCTCTCTGTGTGTATTTGGGTCACTTTCCCATACCCATTTTCAGATGTCGCTACCTCTGTTGGGTTAGTCCCTGATCCTGCAAAGACGTATGCGTATGCTTAGAGTTAAGGCAATTATGTGCATATAGTTTTGCAGGAAAAATGTGGTCACAGGAACAGCTGTGCAAAGCTTGTTTCTTCTTTGGAATAAACTCTTGCCTCCCATTTCTGGCACTTACTGACACACATTCGTAGGACAATACCCCCCAAAATGAATATACAAAGCTCGTGTCTGACATCTGATCAATTTTTGATACTACGACTGCTCTGCCAGGATAAGTCCATAAGGTGTCAGCACCAACATTTTTACCATTAAATTGCACTGAACATTTGCACAGAAAAATATTTACGTTCTCCTATGTATCCCCTAGAGGGCACCAAAACCCACAAAGTGAGCAAACTAGACTCTCAGTGGGAGAGTTCAGGTGATGTTTGAGGAGAGCTTCACTTGGCTTCCAGAGCAACTGATTCTGTTGTTGCCTTTGTAGAAAAACAATGGGACAAATCTCCTGTCTGATTATTTCAGTCTTTGCAACCGGGTCTTTGCAATTTTCTTGTTTCTCCTAATAACATTCTCCAAGATTGCAAGGACATTTCAAAGGGGGGGATCTGGTAGTGGAAAGGTTCAGGGGACTGTTTTATAGTGTCCACCAAGGGTAAATAAGACAAAACCTCTAGGCACGTAGAAGCTGTTGTTCAAATAACACAAACAAACATTGCTCCCGGGAGTCCTAAAGGGGAAAACAAAAAGAGCCGGAGCATTCCAAGGAAAAGAGAATATTTCTTGTCCACCTTTGCTCTCTTGGTTGAAAGGATCTCTCTAGTTCGCTCTCATTTGGGGCTGAAACTATTTTTTCTTGTAGCTGAACTTTATGCTATTAAGAGTCTTTGGATTTAGACGCCACAGATTTTCCAAATGCGTGATGCGGGGACACAGGGCGTCTTTTCGATTTCTTTCGAAACTTACGCTCGGTAAAGTTTTGAGAGTGGTGAACTGATGGGAGGTAAGGGTTTAATAACAAGGCGATTTGTTGAGACAAAACGTAAACCTTTAGGATATAGCAGGTCAAAGAGCTATAACCCGTCAGTGTTTCAGTTTGGCGTTTACAACTTTTTGAACTTGTATATGATTTTTTTTTAAAGTCCCCATGTGCTTATTGTGTGCTTTAAACCAATTAGGGCTGATCAGAAGTGTTGTTGTACTGAAAGCTGAAGTTTAAAAATGTGAAGTCGTTCTAAAACCTGTTAAATAAACCGCGTTTCTCCGTTAATACGTTTAAATGAAACAGCAGCAACTCTAAAATAATTCTCGTGTGAAAATCACCCGGGCATTTATTCTACATAAAGAAATCGATGCGCATCATTTGAATTTATTGCCATCAAAACGAAGGTGAAAGTTTTCAAGAAATCGACAATCAATTTGCATTACAGGTTTTTGGTGGATTTTAAAGTATTGGGTAAAAAAACTTTCCCTTTTGTATTAAGACATTCACAGATAGCTTTTGTGATTCTCAGTAGTTCTCAGGCAGGAGCATTAGTCCTGCAATGCCTACCCTATTTGGATCCCTGATAGTTATGTACTGAGTGCATTTGTTAAGATAAATAAGGAGACATCTCTCTCTCTTTCTCTCTCTCTCTCACACACACACACGAAATTCACGTTTTGTTAAATGTGTCCCTTTCTGAAGCTTTACCGATTCCCGAAGACTGAATTTTGCTCTGCACATATTGTTAGATGATCTTTTAAAAAGTCACATGAAGTAAATTACAGACGGAGGGCCTTATTTCAAAAGGCAGCGGACACAGACTGGGTCTGTAGCTATTTTATTCCGTTTTAAATTAAATTCGCCTTTCAGACATTTGGATCCAAAGGGAGGTGGTTTGGGGTTTTTTTTTTTTTTTTTTTTTTTTTTATTTTACTTGGGGGCGGGAGGAGAGGTTGTTTCTTTCTTCATCTGTCTGCTTTTGAGATAAACGTTATCCACGATCAATGCAGTGCAGTTCACAGCAGCTTTGCAAATACAGGAATTTACACTCCGCTAGCATGCGTCCCTAATTAACCGAATCTGATTGCCTATAATGAAATCATTAGGGAAAGCAGGAGGGGCGGGTTTCACAAACCCAAGAAAACTCATCTCGATATGGGTCTTTTTCTCCTGGGTCTTTTATTATTTTATTTTATTTGCTCAATTCTTTTGAAAGTGTTAGAGGAATCTGCAAATGTGCTACCCCCCCAAAGACCCCAGTGTCGGCTATTTGCTCGGATATCAGCCTATGCTATGAAACGTGATGTGTGCCATCCCATAGCTTTCAGGGCTAATGCTTTTATAGGTAGCGAGGCTACAAGTACCGTGTGAGAAAAAACGAGCAGCCCCTTCTGAATATCCACCAGAGGACTGGAGGGTGATTTGAGTTAAAAATAAAATGTATTTTAAATGGGAAGCTCTGTGTTTGTACAGCATTCCAGGTTTCCTCCGTTAAAAACCCGGAGGAATAATACAGCACTCAGGAACACGTTTTCAGTTGATCGCTGATCATTGCGATCAGCTCGTCCTAAAACTGGCAGGGTTTACTGCTTAAAATCCGTTCCGTTCATTTATTACATTTCATGTCATTTAAAGTCCTACTGCGAGCAAACAAAAGTCACTAATGAGCCGCGTTGGATGCTCGTTACCTTCCAACGCCTTCAAAAAAAATACAACCCCTCTGCGTTTACCTTGGTCCTAGCACCGCTGTTCCGCCGCGGCCTCTCTCTCCCTGCCCATTGATTGGACAAAGCCATCCCCAAGTGCACTGCGATTGGCTCAAAGTCGAGGGCAGAGGCGTGGCCAGCGAGGAGTAAAAACTCGCCTTCGGCAAGAAAAGTTTTGAAACTTTCCCAAACCCTATAAGGGGAGTTTGCATTTGCGGGGCTCGCCGGTGGCTCTGCGCACACACACTCACACACACACACACACACTCACACTGGACTCACACGCTCCTCCACAGCCCTAGCGTTTATTTTGATTCTGAGTTCACAAGAAGTTTTGGTGGTTTCCCTCCCAGAAGAAATTTTTGTTGTTGTTGTTGTTGCAAGAATTATATTTTTCCCCTCAAGACTTTTCTTTGCCTGCGAGAATTATTCCCGGCTTCTGCCTCCCTTTTAGCAGCAGCTTTTGCCAACTCAAAAAAAAAAAAACACCCAGAGAGATCACTAGATATCCGCACGGCAGGCTCCTCCTGGCGACTCTGAAGGATGCTGCTGATTTACTGCTGCTAAGGACGCTTTTGGATTTGGGCAGCTTGTGTTTGAGACTCTCTCTCCCCTTCCTCCCTCACCCTCCTCCTCTGCAGAGGAGGAATCCCGTTGGGGTGAGCCCCTCTCCCCCAAAACCCGTACCCTCTTCGTGTCCCCTCCCCCGGACCCCGGTGATTCCGTCGCCTTGCGATTTGAGGGAGCCCCATCCATGATGCAGGCTCGCTACTCCGTCTCCGACCCCAACGCCTTGGGAGTGGTGCCCTACTTGAGCGAGCAGAACTACTACCGGACCGCGGGGACTTACAGCAACATGGCCAGCCCCATGAGCGTCTATTCGGGCCACCCTGACCAGTACGCCGCCGGCATGGGCCGCTCCTATGGGCCTTACCATCACCACCAGCCGGCGGCCCCCAAGGACCTGGTGAAGCCTCCCTACAGCTACATCGCTCTCATCACCATGGCCATCCAGAACGCCCCGGACAAGAAGATCACCCTGAATGGGATTTACCAGTTCATCATGGACCGGTTCCCCTTCTACAGGGAGAACAAGCAGGGCTGGCAGAACAGCATCCGCCACAACCTCTCCCTCAACGAGTGCTTCGTCAAGGTGCCGCGGGACGACAAGAAGCCCGGCAAGGGCAGCTACTGGACCCTGGACCCGGACTCCTACAACATGTTCGAGAACGGCAGCTTCCTCCGCCGCCGCCGGCGCTTCAAGAAGAAAGACGTGCCCAAGGAGAAGGAGGAGAGGCAGCCCAAGGAGCAGCCCAAGGCGCCGGGCGTCTCCAGCCCGGACATCGCCAAGGAGGCCTCCGAGAAGAAGGTGGTCATCAAGAGCGAGGCCTCCTCGCCAGACCTGCCGGTCATCACCAAGGTGGAGACGCTGAGCCCGGGCAGCGGCAGCCCCCGGAGCGTGGCCTCCACCCCGTCGGTGTCCACCGAGAGCTCCCTCCCGGAGCACCACCCGGCCGGCAACGGGCTGTCGGGCTTCAGCGTGGAGAACATCATGACCCTGCGGACTTCTCCCCCGGGGGAGCTGAGCCCCGGGAGCGCCGCCTCCGGCCGGACAGGGGCAGGGCTGGTGGCTTCGCTGCCGCTGGGCTACCCCCAGGCGCAGCCCTCGGTCTACAGCCAGGCGTGCGGCCAGAGCATGGACACGAGCGGGAGCTACCAATGCAGCATGCGGGCCATGAGCCTGTACACCGGGGACAGGTCGGGCCACATGTGCGTCCCCACCACGCTGGAAGAAGCCATCTCGGAGCATCCCAACGGCACCTCTTCGCCTCTGGCCACCATGAACCTGGCCTCCAGCCAGGAGAGCGCGCTGACCCCCAGCCACCCGCATCCCAGCGGCGGGCCCGGGCAGCCGGCAGCCTCCTGGTACCTCAACCACAGCAGCGAGCTCAACCACCTCTCCGGCCACACGTTCGGCTCCCAGCAGCAGACTTTTCCGACCGTCCGGGACATGTTCAACTCTCACCGGCTGGGGATTGAGAGCTCGACCCTCAACGAGCATCAGGTGAGCGGCAACACAAGCTGTCAGATCCCCTATAGATCCACGCCCTCCATATACCGCCACGCCACCCCCTATTCCTATGACTGCACTAAGTATTGATTAGCATTGACTCTCCTGGGTAGGCCAATTAAACAAACACTTAAGACTGCATAAGGAAATCCTTTTACAACCTGTAAGCGGACCTGGGAACCAAAGAGTTTATAGACCCTTATTCCTCTTCCATCATCTTTAAATTCCAGACAAGTAAATTCTACTTGAAAAGGGATGTCTTTAAAATATATAGAGAGCTATCTAAACAAAGTGGCAAATTTATATGCTAAAGTATAGGAGGTCTCCGAAAATAAGTTATGGACCAATATCACAGCGATCATTATGCGATTAAAAAGAAAATTATATATTATATATATAAAAATATATGTCCGGGGTATTTTAAGTTCTCTTATTGTGCTATAAAATGTGTGGATTTCTAATCAGGCTAATTTTCAGAGCCGTTAATATAATATTTAAAGTTGAGTTCACTGGATTATTTTTTTTATGTTGCCCAACAATTCCTAACAGCCCAATTAATTACAAGTGAGTTCTTCTTCCTTTTTCGTGTGTGTACAATTATGCAAGAGAATTTCTTCCTCTTTAGAGCTGTTCTTTTTACAAGACGAGGAAATAATTTATTTTTGTTGGTGGATTTTTGGGAAAAAAGACAAAGTGTCTGATGCGGTTTTTTTAATTTACGACAGTGTGATGTTTTGTATAATAGTCTCCACCCTGACCATTCCTGAGAACTATTTGGTTTTATTCTACTTCACGCTTGTTTGTCTTATGTGGTCTTAATCGTTGTACTTACCTTAAAATAAATCCATGTTGTTTTCTTCTGCTCAAAGTCTGGCGCATGTATGTGTGTGTGTGTGTTTTTGCCATTTTTCCGATCCCATTTTTCAGGCAGAAAACGTGGAACACGTTGATGTTAAAACCAAGTAGATTTCCTGGAGACTAAAGGTTTATTACTCTTTTTTTATTATTATTATTTATTTAACAAAGGCTCAGTTCACATGACGAAATCGCATAGCTGAAATGAAAACACGTAGGCGTTCCTGGGTTAGTTTAAAGGGGCTTCCCAGGATCTGAAGATTTGCAGAACCCTTTGCAAATCCAGGACAATTGGCCAGTTTGAAACTGGAGTGAGATTCTCCAATCCGCAAATGATGTGAGTGAAAGACTCCTCACCGGGATAGGTTCTGATTAATCACTCTTATTTTAATCTTTTTCTTGACAGTTTTATTTACCTACTGAGATGTAGGCCTTATGAGGCGCTTTGAATGTAGTCAGTTACCTCTCAGTTCAGCAGCAATATACTACAGGCAGTTGCCCCGATAGAACAACAGTGTATAGGAAAAATAAACTAATAACATCCTGTGAGGATAATAAGAAATATCATTTGATCTGGATCTCATTACGAAGTCCTAAGAACTATCCCAGCAAGTTCATATTAGGGTGGTTTTACAGCCCTGTCTGAACGCATTCTGTTTTTATTCGTTTCTTGTACAAAAGATCTATCTTCATCTGACTTCATCTTCTGCTTCCTATACCCAATTTGAGCTCTCATTATAAATGCCTGGGGCTGACAGCGGATATGTTAAAGCTGCCAACCATCTCTTCCTTCTGATCTCTTCTAAGCAACTTTAACATGCTTCAGAAATGCAGTGGCTCATTGTCGCTTAGTCAGAATAAAAAAAATACCATCACAGGATTGTCTAGCACGTTGGTAAAGAATAAAGCAGCCTTTAGATAAAAATGGCCTTGGAAGCCGTTTTCAAATGCAGCTTGTTTTTGTCAAGTTAACTTTAATTGGAATAACATAATTCCCCAACGAATGTAGGTGCTAGCTGCAAAGATTGTCAATAAATATGGATGTTAACATATGGAATCGCAGAATATAAATGCAGCACAATAAACATTGCTGAGGAGGCAAATCTCCAGATCGCCTCCCATAAAAAAAAACAAATCAAAAACACGAAACACCTATTAGGACGAAAAGGTGACTAGATGGACGGAGGAGATATACTGTAGGTCATGGGAGACCTGTTACCTGAATTGATTCTGATCTGGCACATACCATATGCTGCCGAATTCTGGCAGCGCGCGTTGAAACGCTTGGTTTCAATGAAACATGGCCCATAAGAATAATTTGTGCTGTCTTTCAGCAGCCTTCCTATAAAACCCGAGCTACTTTTGCCAAGTTCTCGAGGTTTTTTGTCTATTAATAAAAGAGCAAGGCGGGGAGAAAGGAGGAAAAATAGAGGAGCAAATACACTCTCCTTCCCCGCCTACCTCCCCAAATCCTCCCTCCTTCTTAAAATTAAGTAGGGGAGATTTGTCGCTTAATAGATTTCCCCCCCCCGCACAGTGAAGCAGCAGCCTTATAGCGTTGTTCTGTACCTTTATCAGCAGTGAGCTGAAAATCAGGTGCTTGAGGTTGGATTTTCAAGCTGCTGTGCAGCTTCTTTTTTGGATGGGGAGAGGGTGGGCTGTGTGTGAGAAGTGTGTGTGGGAGATAGCGAGACAGAGGAATATTCGTGGCCACTAACATTAAACTTGCCACTTCTCCTCCTTAACAGGTTCCTTGCTTGAGCCAGAGTTACCAGTGGCAGATTCTCTCTACAACATAGGGCCTCCGGGGCGGAGAATGGGGATGCAGGCACAGGTGATCTGCTGCGGTCCTTAAATTGTCCAGATAATTCGGCCTTGAGCCTTTTCCTTGCTTGTCTAACTGGCACTAGGCCCTGGCTGGGGGTTCAGCAGAGAGTGGGGGTTGAATAACCCAGTACCACTCCGGGGATTCTCAGACTGGCATAGTGTAGACGCATGAGGTGCCAACATGCGGTCCAAGCTCGCCGCACCATATTATCTTATTGCGATCGCATTTTAGTCATAGCTGCTGGGAAAAAGCAGTTCCCCGTGGCAGATACCGACCTCCTGAAGCTGCTGCCAGAGCCAGGTGCCTGTGCTTTTCCCCGAAAGGGCAGCCACTGGCGGCTGCCGCCAGTCCCTTCCCTCAGCTGGCATTTCACACGCCTGCTGCGGCTCTCCGGAGAGTTGCTCTTTTGCTGGACAGTTCCAGAGGGACATTGGACACTGGACCGTGCAGAGGCTGCGTTCAGCCGTGTCTGCGGGCAGCAGCCTCTTGTTTGCGTTTCCAAGTTTTCATTTTCGCTGAGGCTCGAGCTGGTTTCCAGACCCAGTGTCGAGTCCTACCCGCCTGATCTCGGCGATACGATAAAACCAAACCAAGCCCCCAAAGGAGAATTAGTCATAATCATCAAAAAGGCATTTTAATGATTTTGATTCGATTTCCACTCAAAGTGAATGATCTCAGGTAGGTCAAATGCATCCTTGTCTCTGTCTCTTGAAGTTCCCCCTTCTCCGGGTGGCTGACTTCCTGCAAGACCCTGTCATATTAAACAATAAAATAAAAATCCCCAGGAAAAGAAAGCACTCAAATGTCTCTCTCACAGGGCTCCCTGCTCCTTGTCCCCAAGCTGCAATGATCTGGCCCTAAAAAATGGCAGGTTTCAGCAGCTAGCTAATTTCCTATTAGTTGGTGGCAGCATTTTGGGCCCAGAAATGTGTTTCCCGTATAAAATTTGTGAGATTGGACCGTCGATCTCACACCCGATTGCATGCCTTGGGGCAGGGGTTTCACTCTGAGCTGTGCTCTCTTTTTAAACCTCATTTTATCGTGCATAATACGGGCACGCTCAATTTTGATTCCTTATTTGTTTTTGTTTTTTTTATTGAAAAAGGAAAACCCAACAGAATACTAACACCTAGCAAACACTTACAATCAAAGCATTTTTCCCATTTACCAGATTAAGACATTCCAAGTAGGTGTATTATTTTCCTTAGCAGCGGACAAGAGTAACTCTGAGCTATGCCGAAAAAAACACCAAGAGTTAAATCTATCCCTGGGCATCTTTTGGTGCTAAGCATGTAACATTTTAGGTTTAAATACTTATATTTCCCCTTATAACGCTCAGCTTTCATCCTTATCTCCCTTTGGAAACAGCTGTCGCGTTTTTACCTCTGCCTTTCCCTCTGCACTGTAGTCGAAAATCTTCAAAGAGAAAACAGACTCCAGCATCTCCTCGTAGATTTTTTCCCGGCAAGGAGAGTTCTCCATCACAGTCACGTTAGGGGAACCATTCGTGAACTATTATTTAAATCTGTAGACAGAGACTTTTTTGAAAGAGAACAAGAACTTCCCGGGAAGTCGTTTTTCTCGTTTTTTTCCCATGTGAAATCGTTCCCTGATCGTTTCTAAAAGCAATGGGCGTGTTCTCCCGATCTTGTCTGAATTTAATCATTAGTTTGTTCAGATTTGGTGAGGTGGTTGTTTTACTTTTTTTGAAAGGTCGCTTCTTGCAAAAAAAAAGGGGGGGGGGGTTAACCCGATCTGGATTATTGTCCCCCAGGTGGTTTAAACCAGCCAGGGGAATTAGAGCCGTGCTAAAAATAAGACAGTTAAAATCTTTAAACTGTCCAGTCACATTGTCTGGACTCTTGCTTTGTAAGAGTAATCAAGGAACAGCAAATACCCCAGGTATCCCAACCTAGAGTCCTCACAGCAATCGTGCGGGACACAGTCATTTTTTCCAACAGGATTGACTCCCTGACTTTATTGGGGGGGAGGGGGGCTGGATCCAGCCCTACTGAAGTCAATGAGAGTTTTGTCATTGGTTTCGATGGAAGCGGAATCGGTGTGTGTTTGTTTGTGTGTTTGTGTTTAGAGCATTTAAAGTAGTCACGTCGATTGCAAACGTTGCTGCTGAGCTCAGAATTCTGCCAGCCAAAACACATCCCCATCCCTACTCATGTTATGGTGTGACGCCACCTTCACCTGTAAGCCTCATTAAGGGACAGCTTCAGCACCTGGCAGGATCGGGCCCTACAATGTACTTGCTTACAGGTGAGGGACCAACATAAATCCCAGTGCACCATTAAGGAGCCGATCCTATTATAGCCTCTACTCAGGCACAACGCTCCAAATACTTCAATGGGGAGTTGTGCTCCAGTACAAACTAACCGGGCCAAGATCAGCTTCTCTCAGGGAAGTCGCTGTACTGTAGATTTCACCTCGGCTGGACCCAGCCTTGTTTGGGGTTTATTTTGGCTAATGAGGATGGTGGGTGGACACTTAGCACTATCAATACATTGTAATGCCAAAATTGCTTGGGACTGCAAATCTGCTGCCTAGTTAACTGATCCCTCCCCCACTTCTCAGGACCTTTAATTCATCAGAACGGCCACACTGGGTCAGTCCAATGGTCCAGCTAGCCCAGCATCCTGTCTTCCCAGAGTGGCCAGTGCCTGATACTTCAAAGGGAATGAACCGAACAAGGCAATTTATCGAGTGATCCATCCCCAGACTCTGTCAGTCAGCGGTTTAGGGATACCCAGAGCATGGGGTTGACTCTCTGACCACCTTGGCTAATAGCCATTGATGGACCTATCCTCCATGAACTTATCTAGTTTTTTTTTTAACTCAGTTACGGTTTTGGCCTCACACCACCCCCTGGCAAAGAGTTCCACAGGTTGGCTATGAGCTGTGATCAGAAAAGTATGTGTTCAAAAACCAACAGCTCTTTATACCACCGTGTATTTCTGTTCCAGCTCTGCCAATCCAAAGCAACAAACGAGACTTCCCTTTGTGCTACAGGACTCAAATGCAGTCCAGTTAGGAACTCCCCAAAATATAACCTACCCAGACCAATTAAGATCACATTCTAGTTACCTGCCAGGTTTGCACAAATATATCAACACCCCATTTAGCATCGCCCCCCTTGTAGCATCTTGTTGCAAGCCTCATGAGTCTTTTATTTTTGTAGCTTTTTCCTTCTTGGGATAGATTCTAGAGAACTTGAAAGCCATGAGCAGGGCGTGGAAAAAGAGACGAAAAGGCGTTAGGTAGAAAGTGCCTCTGTGAGAGAGATTTGCAGCTGTAAAGCTGCCGCTAACATCCGTTTTGCATCATGCAAAGGGCAAACTGTTTTTAGTTCTAATTTGACACCGAGCACAAACTTGACTGCTGCTCCAGTGCGCTATGGACTCAGATGCAAAGCATTAGTTATAATGATGTCAAGGCCTAGAGAGCTGGGGAATAAGAACGTGGGGGCGATATAGGTTAAAGTGGGCAAACTGGGGTGCCTAAAGCTAAACACCTTTAAACATCAGATCGCTTTTATTGGGGTGCCCTAACTTTAGGCCCCCAAGTCTGAACATTTTGGCTATGGACCATTTTTAATAACTTGCAGGGGGTACTGTCTGGGGGAGACGCTCCAGATATCACACCCCAGTCTCTGCTCCCTTCTCCTGACCAGGAAAGCTGCTAATCTGCCTACCCTCTATGCTGCCAAGTGTGTCTCTCTGCTATGACAGTCTCCCTCTGTCCTGCTGCCTTTAAGGGACACGAGTCCCGGCTTTAGGGAAGCGAAAGTACATCCAGGAGTCTCTAAAGAGCCCGGGCCATTTATAGATTCCTGTGCCCGGCCTGCAGAAAGCAAGTTCCCCACCTAGCACTCCCAGCCCCGGACTGTGGCAATCGGAGTCATTAGAGCGGCTCGGATTACAGACACACCGATGGCTGCTCATGTCAGGGGGTCAGGGCATCAGAAGAGGGTAACGCACCCAGGCAGCGAATGAGCTGTTAGGACACTCCGATTGGGGGGTTTCAAACCCAGACGAACGTCTCTGCTTTGCCTCCCGGGGGAATTTCTCGCAGCGATGTCCCAAAACAGGAGGCAACAAACCTCTTTGCCATGTGAGCCTGTGTCTGTATCCCGGGCCCACAGCCATCTACGGGGACTATTTATTATTTTAATATTTCTTGCTTGGCTTTCTCAAGGAGACGCACTAGAGCCTGTGAGAATTTAAATAAAGCCTCCGGGGGGAAGGCGACGTTAAACGTTGATCTCCCGTTTAAAATCCCCACTGCGGATGTCGATAAGGTGTCAGATGAGTGAAAGCAGCTGGGCTCCAACACTGATCCACAGAGCCCCCTTTACAAGGAGGTTTTATGTGAAATAATGTTTAACGAAGAGATGCTTAGGAGAATTGATTTCTAAACTGAGCCAAGGGCCAGGGTTTTTCCGCACACGCTGGATGTGGACAATCAAACAGCCCCTGGGAGTGCAAGGGGCTTGCTAATATGGGTCGCCCCATGGAATGTGATAATTGATATCAAATAAAAGTGTTTGCAGTTTACTGACTCTCTGAAATGTGCCGTGTTATATAGGTTCGATTTATTTCCCTCTGGTTGAATGCTACGAAGTAATGCCTGAAATCAAAGGGTCACAATCCTATTAATAAGCAGACTCTGTGGAAGCGAGGTCCCAATCTAGAACAACAAATGAGAACATCAGAATTGAAATCCACTTTAAAAAAATAATTTGCAAATCCAAAGCAAGACGATTTCTTACTCCAGCTGTTAATCTGAACCCCTGCTGGATTCATCTGAAAATGCAGAAATCAAATCAGGTTTCTTCACCGCTTCTGATCTCCTGCTGGGCACCTGGGGGATAACCCCAAGGGAATTCCCAGCTAGCCTTTTTAAAAGTAGTGTGATGTTTATGATGCAATAAGGGCCCGATCCTGCACTCAGACAAAAGTCCCATTCGAGTCAATAGTTTTACCTAGGCAAGGTGTACAGAATCGGGACCCTGTTTTCTAACGGCACACTTAATTTTCCCGATTACTTTTAGAAGTTGTCAGTGGAGGCCAAATCCTGCTTGCTCCACTCAAACGAGGGCTCGCATTAAAAGTTGATTGGCCCTCAGTATGGGCTCGATGCAAAGCCCAGGGAAGTCATTCGAGTTTGGATCAGACCCTACAGAAGACGTGGCTCGCGTTTCCTTCTGAGCACATTTTGCTCCCAGAAGAGGAGGCAGGCAAAGAGCCTCTAATCAGAACAGAAACTCGTGACTCAGATCTGCCTTGACACAGCTTCCTAAAAATGCCCCGGCTCGTATGTTAGTCAGTTTCCATGGGTCATCTCTTGCCATCGGTTTGTAGCAGATCCCCCCGCCCCACCACTGACTGCTTTAAAAACTGGGGACACACCAGGGCCCTAAGCATCTGTCCTTTTCACCCACAAAGAGAATAGTGAGCGGATGGTTAATAGTTCACAACATTAGATGCCACGCTTAGTGGTGGTCTGTTCATCGGCCTCATTAAAAAGCTGACACCTCTTTCTGAATCCGACTCAGCCAGTACCTTTGATTCAAATCGTTACATCAGTCAAAAAAAAAAAAAACCCAACCTGAACGTTTATACAAAAAAGAGCATCACAAATGCCTAATGTAATCACCGGCCAGCTGTGTGCACTTGTAAAGTTGTTATAATCCCCCTCCTTGGTATAAACAGGAAAGTACATAATATAAAGCAACAGGCCTGCATTCACAAATACTAAACCTCCCCCTCATGCCTGCCAAGTTCGCCTTTTATGGAGCGCGGTTGCTCCTTGCAATCCCACTGTGACCCCCCAAATAATAATCAAACTCCCCTTCGATTTTGGTTCCTCGAAAAAGAGGGATTGTTTAAGTCGCGCCCCCCTGCATGCACACTGCACTAGCCTCAGGCCTGAGGTCCGAAGACAGAATTCCCTCCTGCTGGATTTCACTAGCAATGGGGGGGACTCTCCTCACCCTTGAAGCTAGAGAGACTATATTAGCATCACTCGGTACAAGCAGACACCACCAGCGCATACACCTGGTTGGATCGCTTCCCTAGTCTTTTGCGTCAACTGTCTTCAGACCTGCTTTACAATGTCCTGTCTACTGGACCGTTCATGCAAACCTCGTTGCTTGGATGTCTGTGCTGTGTCTCAGGAGCAATCACTGCAGGTGTGAAGGCAAAAAGCCAGATCCACAACGGGTGTAAATCAGTGGAGCTACGTTGATTTACACCAGTTGAGGAGTCATCCCTGTTCTCCACTTGGAGAGAGAGAGACAGAGCCCTAGGTTCTTCCTTGCAGCCCCATTCCATTGCCTGTTTTCCTCGGTATTGATCCTTTCAAAACAACAAATTCTCCTTTACCCAGGAGTTTCTGCCCCTTCTCCCTCTGAGCTCCAGCCGTGTACATCCTGCTTTGCTGACTGTGTGCTTACAGCGTCAAAGGGTGGACGTGATATTTCAAACATCAGATCAGTGCGTTTATATATTGGGTGCCCGGAAATTTTTCCAAATAAACACAGCTTGATTCGACTTGGGTGGGCAGACTTATCAACAGACTAATGCTATAAACAAATGAAGGACAAACCCGGCGAACCATTGGCTGGTACCAGAGAGACACGTGGAGGGAGCTTGGAGTTGTGTAGCAATGATATTTTAATTAATGTGGGTGGGCTGAGCACACAAACGACTGTTTATCGGAGACAATTTATTTTCCAGTGCTAAGTCAACATATAAGAGCAAACTTACAACAATTATTTAACATTTTTTTTTTAAAAAAAGAGCGATGAAGCCGGGACAGAGGGAGAACAAACTCGTCGAGGCAGGGTTGGGGTCTGAGCTCACACCAATAGTTCCCCGGTGGACTCTTGGAGGGTTTCTCCCTTGTCCTTTCCCGTCTCTGAACTGCCAGGGGAAAGATCCGGAGCTAAAACCACATCCGCGATGAGCCACATTTTCAGCAGCCATCTACCTCCAATGAGCAGCCCGCTCAATGGCTCCTCCATGGTCTATCTGTACGGGGCAGATAGGGCTGGGCTGCCTACTGCTTTAAGCTTCGCCTCCACCAGCGTGATCTCCAGGCAGGAACCTCCCCAGAAGCCTCCTTACAGCTACATCGCCCTCATTGCCATGGCCATCAAGGAGGCTCCAGACCAGAAGGTGACACTCAACGGCATCTACCAGTTCATCATGGAGCGGTTCCCTTTCTACCACGACAACAGGCAGGGCTGGCAGAATTCCATCCGGCACAATCTCTCCCTCAACGACTGCTTCATCAAGGTGCCCCGGGAGAAAGGCAGACCTGGCAAAGGCAGCTACTGGACCTTAGACCCCAGGTGCCTGGATATGTTTGAAAACGGGAACTACCGGCGGAGGAAAAGGAAGCCCAAAGCCTCAGGGTCCCAGGAGACGAGGGGCAAGGCAGAGGCAGAGGAGGGGAAGGACCAGCCCGCTGGCAACCGAGCTGATGTGCAACCGAAGAGATTCCGGGGGAGCCAGGCTGCATCCGCAGGAGAGGAGAACCTGGAGCCAGCCTGCGCCTCTAGGGATGCACTAGCTCCAGCAGAGGAAGGCGAGAACAAAGCGAGCTCTGTGAGATGCAATCGGGCAGCAGCAGATCCTCCTCAGTCAGAGGTGCCCCCTGCCCCTTGGGACCATCCCCATCCATCCAGGTGCGCAGCTCCTCAGGTCCCTGCGCCTGCCTCCAAGGAGGGAAGCATTCCCGAGGGGGAAAGGGTGGGGAGCTCTTCGGAGGGAGAGGCGCAGGAGACGGTGCTGGCAGAGGCCAGGGCATGTCAGCATATCCCCACCTCTGGTGCACGCATGCTCTCCCCAAGTGCCAATCAGAGCCAGGTGGGCTCTGCAGCCGGGACAGATCAAATGCCTCCGAAAAGCTCAGAGAAGTCCAAAAGCTTCAGTATAGACAGCATCTTAGCTCATAAAACTCTCCAAAAGCCAGCCAAAGGGGACGCGCAGGCAGAGGGAGGCTGGGACCCGAGCGCCTCCAAGTTGGCTTTGGAGAGCCTGCCAGCTGGATACATCAGTGGGTCGCTGGCAGCGAATGCTAATGTCTGTCCAGCTTTCAGTGCTTCCCTGATGCTCGATTCCCAAGTTCAAGGTAGATTTTATCAGATCGGGATTCCCTTTCTCTCTTATTTTCCTCTTCACTTGTCCGAGACGGTATTTAATTTTCAGTAACAAAAAACCCCAATGCAATTTGATACCCAATTATATACACACACGGAATTGGATCGTGTGTATAGATATAGATATATTTAGATATAAAACCAAGAATTAATTACATGGGTTAAAAATATTAGGATTTTAGGGCATTTTCAACCGTTTCTTTCTCAGCAGATTTTTTGACTGATATTTTTTCTTCCAAATGTACTTTAAGGTAACTTTTTTTTTACGTTGGCTGTACAAAAAATATTACAGAGGTTTTGCATTATGTTTGTCAGAAACAGTACAGCAGCCTGATGGTTTATTCTTGCCATCCATCATGCATTTAAGACCTGTTTTTTGTCCAACTGCTTTGCTTTCACGTTAAAAAACAACCCCCCATGCACCCCAATTATTCATGTGTTTTTCTTGTGTGTGATTTTGCAGTTAATACATATATTTCCCCGCACACATATAAACAATTGCTGCGATGCTGCTTAATAAACCCCAGCCTGGTCATTTAAATAATTCGACTAGATAGATAAATGACATATAAGATGAGCTACACATAATCACAAATGGAATTTCCTTCGGAACAATCCTGCTTGCTTGGAATCAGTACTGTATACAATTCATGGCGTGGTTTACTGCATAGTACTTGCGTTTTTATTGTATTTTGATAGTGTCTGTGTCACTGAAGCTGTTTACAGAGAACACCAGATGTGGAATGGAGAAACTGCAAATTTGTATAGATGGAATCCGATGCTCTAAACATAAAAGCACATTGATCAAATAATAAACGTTAATCTTGGAGTTACCTTGTTACAAACTGGACGTCTACCAAGAACAATCAACTAACCCCGTCCCCATAGGTTTTTATTTTCTCCTAGATGCATTATAACAGGAGCATTTTTTTTATTCTTTCAATAAATATTGAGGCTTTCTTTGTATATTAGTGGGCAAATGCCCTTTGGAAATCTTTTATATTATCAGCTTTCATTATGAAGCCGAACCTATATTCAATAAAGTATTTTGTTCAATGATATGGCTGATTATTTAAAAATCACTCCCAGTTCACGCTGCTGAAAGAAATGTGTTTTTTTGGGAGGGGGAGGGAGTGGCGGGGAGTGAAGAAAGGGAATAAGGCGCTGTAAAAACGCTAGAAGAGATGCATTTTTACAGTAATATTTATTACTATTAGTATTTAATTCTCAGAGGCTGCTTGAGAAGCAGCAGGAGCTCAGAGAGAATGTAATACTGTCCAGTGCATTACAAGATGCTGAAGAAGGGGTCAGTAAAATTGTTTTCGGACAACAGAGAGAACATCTCTCTCACACACAACCGAGTCTGTCTTTAAATAACCCCCTTGACCAGTGACTGCAGAGGAAGAGAGGGGCTTGTCGGCAAAGCTCTGATTCAGAATCATTTGCCCTTCCCCACAGCATGGTCTGGGGTTTTCTCTGAAATATTCGAGCAGCGCCTTAGTTCGGGGCTATTTGCATTTAGACGTGGAGTTCAGGAGCTGAACATCCAGAATCTGCAAATAACTCTCAGCTTATCTGATGTGGGAAAGTACAAAAAGTCACAGAGCCGTGGGAGGTAGTGCTGACCTAGAGAGAGGCTTAACTACATTTTTAAACTCACATATACAATTAATGTACAAACCTTTTCTCTAAAAATAGCAAAACCACCACTGAAAAGTTTCTTTTTATGCCTGTCATTGAATTGCAAAAGGGATTTCAGGTAAGCATGACAACTTGTTTATTTTATTTTTTTTTTAAAACCCTACCGAGTATGATGCCAACTGTAGATAAGCTGTTCCAAAAATTTATGGCACTATCTAATCCTGTAGTTCATAGGGGAGCCATTACAACTGTGAAGGAGTTACAGCCGCCTAACAGATCTGTAAAATTCAGACACAGTAGTGTAGCCAAGGATAAACAGTGTTTACTCTCTTCTCATTTGAGCAATATGGAGTTTAGTTGAGTTTACCCACTTCTTTTTAACCACTTCAGCCTGGAGTTAACTAAGGTTAGCTTGCCCACTTCTTTTTACCCACGACAGCCCCACAGTATTTTACTCTGATCCCTTGAGACTGAAAGGGTTAATATTTTTACTTTCCCACTTATTGGTCTGACTTGCTGTTCTCATGTGTAACTTGATACAGGTATTACAGCAAACTAAATACATGGCCGCCTTGTGAAGGAGGCTTCATTAGTGTCAGGGATGGTGGATGACATCATGGAAGTCTTTTAGGGGTCAGGGTGGTGATGTCATTCTTAAGCAGTGGCACAAAAGAGCCAGGACGATGCCTGTATCAGTTAGGCCTCTCACAGTTCTGACTCAGCCATAGCTCCCACTGCAGTCAAAGGGAATTTTATATGTGTATGAACCGAAGAGGCATTCCGTTCCACCCCTGGAAGTCAATGGGTGTTTTGCCTTTGGCTGAGATGGGAATAGGATCCATGGGAAAATAGGTATTGCCAGACCAGATCAGTGGCCCATCTAGTTCAATATCCTGTCTCCAGTGGTGTCCGGTACTAGATGCTTCAGAGGAAGGTGCAAGAAATTCTATGGTGGACAATTATGGAACAACCTTCCCATATGGTAATTTCCCCCCCCCTTCCCAGTCCCCTCACTTAGTGGTTGGTTTATTCCCTGAATCATGAGAGTTTATATCTCTAAAAAAATCCAAACAACCAAACCAAACCAAAAACCTCTAGCCGCTGAAACTAACTGTTGATGTTCTTATTAACACCATCAATGCTTAATCTGAAAGGTTCCCATCTTTTTTTTATAGTGTGGGCCCCCTCTCAATAGAGAGATCCTCCAATGGACCCTCTCCTCCAAATCAGGCTGCACTTCAAGATTAGGCAACATCCCTCCTCTAGCAGCTACAGTAATTCTCGGGGGGAGTGATTGTTTTTGGTGTAGGACTGAGAATTGCCACGCACAGAAATACCCAACCCCACCCATTCTCACACAAACTAAACATCCCCACCAACAATCAATTCAATTTCACTCACTTCTTGGGTTTTCAGTCCTATCCCTGCCCCTGTCTCCCAGCCTACTCCCCTGGCCTGGTAGCTCTCTGGTTCTGAGACTCCTTAGCACCCAGCCTAGGCCCCAAGGTACCCACTTGTATCCCAGTTCCTTTCCCTCCAGCATATGGTGTATCTGGGTGTGACGGGGCAGGTGGCTTCTCTTTGGCTTCGAGAGCAGGAAACAGAAGCCCCTTTTATAAAAGAGCAGCCTCCAGTGGCAGATCCACCACCTTCCTTCCTTCTACAGGTGTCCTGGCTGGAGGTGGATCAGGGCTGTTGAGCCAGCAACCCAGTTCTTTGTGGAGAACAGAGAAAGATTTTGTGGCCCACTGCTTGTCCATGGACCACAAATTGGAAACTGCTAGGCAAATCCTTTGTCAAATCCAGCCAAGCTCTGGGCCCCACTGATATTTTTCGGAACGGAGTTCCACCAGTTAACTGTGAGTTCTGTAAAAGAGATTGCTTCCTTTCATTGTTTAAAACGATCTTTCATCCAGTGCTGTTGGCCGTCCCTTGCCCTCATATCATGAGAAAGAATTAAGAAATGTGGCTGAGTGACTTTCTCTGTGCCAGTGAATACTTCAGGGCTGAGCCACAGTCAGGCGGCCATCTTAATGGCTGAAAATGAAACTAGAATTTAGCCCAGCATATACAGTAGGTGCCTTTTGTCCACAGGCAGATTTTTGGAGTATTGTTAATTTTTATATTTTGTGGAGGTATATTTTCTGGTGGGTGTGACCTCCACCCCCCTTTTTTTGGAAGGGTGGAATGTGGTCAATGCACTGCTGCTGTTTTTAAAAGCTACAGTGAGCTTAATTTTGATCACACCTACTCTGGTGATGCCAATAGACATACTGGTATGACACTAATTGGAGTGAAATCAGAATGAGTCTAACTATTTTGAGCGGCGATTTGGAATTAGCGCTGACAGTTGACTAATGTATGTGACAGAGAAAGAGTCTGTATAACAAAGCATGATGGGCTGATAGAATTATTTATTTGCACACTCCCTTTGTATGTCATCCATTTGTACACAAGATAAGAAAAACAATAATAAAATGAGAACTATGTAATATATGCAGACTCCAATGTGAGCCTATGCGCATATTCTCTCTCTCTCTCACACACACAAACAACTTGTATATAGTTGAACATGCTATTACTACTCCAATAAGAATTCATGTTTACAAATTTTACTGTTGTCCTAAAATGTCATACAAAGATGGGCACCTTGACGCACTCCCGGAATTTGTTGTCAAAAGTTTCACACCTGTTCTACAGGCAAAGGAGCAGCTGCCAGTGCTGAAAACTACCACCCACTATTTGACACATCTGTGGAATCTTCAGCCCAGAGTTCTCAACCTGTCCGGCCTGGCAATAAATTTAAGTCTGAAATACTGGGAACAAAGTAGAAAATATTCGATGACACAGAAGAGAATACTTCTTATGTGGGCAGTGTATGTGCCTTTCCATTCCACTGGATAGGAATGACCTATATCCCAACTCATCAAGGTTTCATGTCTCTGGAATTATGCAGCCACTTCTAACTTGCAGGAACACACAGAGTATACAGTGAAGTTATCTGGTTCACAGAGCAACAATTTCAAGCACAGGTTTCCTATAGGGAACTACAATTTGCACATAGCAGTGCATTGCAACAATCCAGGAATTTCATTCCTTTTAAGTGGGGTTTCTCACACACACTGTGTGTGTTTTTGCTTAAAATTGGTCCCAGGGCATTTTATATATTTACATAAAAAGTAGAAGATGTTTTTGGGCACCTTCAATTAGCAAAGGGAATGGATGTCCAACCCTGGCTGCTTTCAAAGTGAGACAATAAAATAACAAATAATAGTAATAATAACAGATATTGTATCACACTTTCATTTGTTTACAATTTAAAATATTAGTTACTTCTTCTTTCCTTCCTATCCTAAGCAAGATCCTTGGTTTCATTACGTAAGATGATGTCTCTTTTCAAACTGAAGGCCA